AGCTCTGCGTAAGAGCTCAGCTTGGCTCTCGATTATTTCCCTTGAATTGACATTAGACACTATCAGTACAATGGGTTTGTTTCACTAGCGTTTTAAGTGACGGCATTTCAGTTGGCCTTGCAGTGGAATAACATTGGCTGAAGGTAATGCGCTCACAGATTTTGCCCTGTACCTGCAGTGCTACCCGGGGTAGAGGAAAAAGTGGAGGTCAATGTTAGAAGGTGCATGAAAACATACCCCTGATATTCTTTGTCTGAGGCTTGGCTGTGCCACAGAGGAGACCTCAGTTCTTCTCTCTAGTCTCCCAAAATGATTTTGCCCAGGTTGCGAGGTTACTTCTGTAGTGACGCCTTAGGTAGTCTTGCTGGGGTTTCCAGTAAAGCTCCCGTATCTGTAGTAAGTCAATCCCACAGGAGAGGCTGTCAAGTAAATGTGAACAGTCACTGTGTGCTGGCCAGGACTTTGCAAGGGTAAACTTAATTAGTAAAAAGCAAGACACATTTGAAGAAAGAGTATGTTTCCCCACATTTGAGGAAAGAGTATCTTTTGCCAAATGAGTGTCTCCACTGCTGTGGATAAAATAAAGAGGATAAAATAAAATTGTCTGATACAGAACACAATAAAATGATCATACGTAATTCCCTGTGACTAGAAATAAATGTTTAACAAACTGCTTCCAATAGGCTTGTTAAGGGTGAAATATTTATTACTATATATTAATTACAGGGTTTAAGCAGTACTTAAGTCTTAATTTAAAGGGATGGGCTTTGTCTTGCTTTCAAGAATTTTATGTGATGAAATCATTCTTCATTGGTTGGACTTTGTGCTAGGGTGGTTTGCACAAACATATCCTTACCTAAACAGTGTTTGCAATGTTGATTATGTTGTGTAGGAAGAATAGTGGACAGTTTTCTTCATGAATTCATGGCCCAAGCAAAATCAAATTCCATCAGAATTAACGTTTTTGCATGTGGAGTGAAACACAGTAGCTCTTCAAATCTAGAAAAATCATATTAATATGGTAAAGTTATATGTTACTCCTGGGGTATTGGTCTCTGACACTAACAATCAGTTCTGAAGAAGTCTGTGTATAATTTTTTTGGGGGTGCCATATATGAGAGAAATACGTATACATAAAGTACACCATTTAAGTCTTCTTCCTTCCCCTGAGCAGCTTAAGATATCAAAAGAACGATAAATATTTTGCACCTTTACATCTTAAATGCTGTTTTGTGCCAGCATATTTTGCACAAAATTACTTTGAGGGAAATTTGTGGTTTATCAGAATTTCAAACCATTGTTGGCAAAACTCTGCTGTCTTAGAGTTGATAAACAGCTGAAGCTTTGTGTTGCTTTGGGACTCTTCATTGCAACAACCTACTGCCTATTCAGAAGGAAAGGTAAACAGAAATAAAGCAACTTAATCTCTGGTGATTCTAAACGGTTCCTAGTTACACTCTTAGATAATTAACTTCTCCTGTGATGTGCTCATTTAGTAGATACCTGGTCATACGTGACCATATTTATTTAATGTACTCTGCAATATTTATACCAGAATACACCCTTCTCATTATAAAACAGACATTCTTTAATTTATTTACACACACATTCTCAAGCTCTTGCTTAGACAAAATTCTACAGGCTTCAGGAAAATATATCTGAGTATGCACATCAGTATATGACTACACATAAACACTTCTGCAGGGAGTGTCAGGAAAAAAATTCTAATATTTTTCCTTCTCTTCATTATCACTGTTCTAATATTTACATGCATTCAAAAAATTAGGGACATGCTACATGAATTATGATTTTTCTTTTTTTTTTCCTTAGGCCTTTGTCACAGCCCTCAGGCCCCTCATTAGATTTATCAGTAAAATTGTATATTTTGTAGCGAGCACAATATTGTGCAGATCATGAGCTCAACAGATTTATGCAGAAGTTTGTAACTTTGTGGTACCTGCCTCTGTAACAAAGCCCAAAGGGAAGTAAAGAGAGATCTCTGCAGCGTATTCTGTTCCCCAAAATTTATTCCAAAACCTATGACACAGATGACTAATTTGAAATGTTTCTGGCTATACTTCATACAACCTTGGTGGATGCCTTCCTGGGTACATTTACATACACACATGTAGGTGAGCAAATATTTATGTGTCTGAGTAGTGCCTGTGTGTGGGTGCAGAACCCCAGCTTTTTTTAAAACTGCCTTACAAAATTGATCAAAACTGAAAGTTGTAGCAAGTAAATGACCACATTTCAAATTCATTTGAAATTAGTAATGCATCTTGTCTCTCACTTGGATGAGCTTATACTGAGTTATGAGTCTTGTAAATGTGTGCCTTTACAGAGCAGAAGAATCCCGCGTGTATTCTCTTAGGCTCCTTTCCACTCATAACGCAGGTGGCCATTGATAGGGAATGTTCTCAATATTTTAAAGAAAAATGCCTTAAAATAACCAAAAGAAATCTGGACAGCTTAAAGCAACTGTTAAAAACAGGAGTATCACCTTGTTCCCTCTCTTTTAAGCTGAAAAAAGAAATTATTTAAGGAAAGAGTTTACTGGAATAAAGCATTTCCCTGCAGTAATTGTGGAGTGCCATGCAGCTGGTTGTACAGCACTTTCTACTGGAGAACTGAAAAATGTTTTAGGGAACACAAGATCTCTGTGACTCAAAGCTGTCATCTTCATTTCAGGAGATGGAGACGTGATTTCCTACAGACTGCCAAGTGAATTTGTCACAGACTTTCTCTTAGTATGTAAAAATGATGCATAGAAGTTCCTAGTGCTGCCATGCTTAATATCATGTTACTGGATGACCAGTATCCAAAATGATAGGAAGGAAATTTAACAATGAATAGTCTCGTTGATATTTTTTATTTAAAAGACCTCAGCTATTAAAATAATTCAACTTTTTTCCTCTAATGAAGCTTAAACTCTTTTCTGAGAATTGTGCTGATATCAGCTGTACGTTGCTTTATTTTTCCAAGTACATGATCAGAAGTGCACTCATAGGAAGCTGATGATTACTATTGTACAGTCACTTTAAAACAAGCAAAACGTATCTGAGAATAAAATGGATCTTTTCAACTCTTCTTGAGTATTTGTATGGAGGGATTTCCTTCCCATGCATCACTTCCATCTCCACAAAAGAGCTCCTAGGCCTTTGCAGGTTCTTTTGATCAGGCTGGCCACCATGAATGTGTACATGTCTTCTAGCAATAGCTGTGTCATTTTTGCATTAGGCTTCTGAGAATAAGCTACTTGAAAATTAAGTGGCTGCTGTCTTTAATATGATAATGTATCGGATAAACACCTGCAACTCTTGTAAGGGGGGATGTCTTGTTGCAATGTATGGGTTGTGCAACCATGGGGAGTGATGGCCAAGAGCAAAATCTTCTTTGCTGAGAGTGTAAAGATCATGTCAGTAGCATGTTGGATAATGCCAGCTTGCTGCTTTCAAAATGTGCTCCTCGTATGAGGAAGAAGCTTCATCTCTCTTGTTTGAAACCCAACACCAAAAAAGTACGTAAATTAGGAGCCCAGAGATCCTACAGTCTATACTCAGTAGACATCTGAATTGCTCTGTGGAGATGCCTCTCTCCATAAGTTACAGAGGTAGCCTAGGGCAAGCCGGCTCCTAAGCTAAGTGCTTCAATAAAGTGTCTGCCATTAAATGTGACAAACTCAGTCTTTGGAGGTGTGTTCTGCAAGGGGGACTGGACTGGGTGCCACACAACCGTGCTGCTGTGCAGCCTGTGCTTGGTGCAGTTGTTTTCATCTTTTTTTAATGTATCCAGTGTTGTTAATTTGTTCCTTGATAGCTAATGACTTTTTAGTTTTCTTCCCTTTTTGAAAAAATTACTAGAAAAATTGACAAATTTTCTTGAGCCTTTTGCAAAACACAAGGAAACGCACATGATAGAGCTTAATCATGTTATAAGAGATTGTTACTCTAAAAGGAAAACTATTTTAGTTATATTGTGTTATTGTGCCATTAGTACCGTTTGACTGCCAACTGTGCAGCAGCAGGGCTCCAATCAACGGGAGCCTTTGTGTGTTTTCCATTGCAAATAGTGCCAAGGATAGGAGGGAGAGAGGCTCTTAGTGGTACGTTTTTTTCAGTGATTAAAAATACTTGAGATCCATTTCAGTGATCAGAAATCTGTCTTAATGAGACAATTAGTCAAACCATAAAAGCTGCACAGCAATTTAGTTGGTGCTACTACTGGAATAATTTGCTGCTGCTGTTTTCTTCCTCCTGATTTGACTTTAGTCTGGATGAAAGTCATTGTAGCGAGGACTTGCAGGCTAGGTTCAGTTCTCAAATGGCCATGATTATCTGTGGGGCATATAATGTCCTTAAAAATGAGGGCAACTTTGAGGAAAAAAGTGGTTATTTAACATATAAAAAAATGAAATGCCGTGGACAAAGTGGCTGCTACAGTGCCTTCAAATATCCAGCTGCCTGCCAGTGCCATGGCAACTAATCGCAGGTAGTGTTTGGGGGACGGGTACCAAACTGAAAAGGCTACTTCAAATTTGTATTTATTTTTCCCTTCTGTAACAAAAGTACAATAACCGGGCCTGAGATCTCTTTATGCATTCTAGTGAGCTGTGTTCAAAATGTCTGATGGAGCTATTTTTTTTTTTTATCTTGCTGGAAGATATCTCACTGTCATATTAAAAATATTTTCTCATCTGTCTCTGGTCTTTCACACTTTGGTCATAATGCTACTCTAAAGCAAAGTCAGAGCAGTTATTCTCAACCCATACTTGTCTTGAAGTTTGCTTCATTTACAGTTCTCTTTCAGAGCTGAAGCCTTGTGTTCCTCAGAGCCTGTTTGCATTTATTTCAGCTAAAGTTGATCTATTAAGGCTTAACATCTTCCTACAAAACTGCTGTCGTTCTAACCTGCAGGTATGTCAGAAATGTCCTTATGGTGATGTTACAGAGGGCATTGAACACAGTAAAACTAAAACTTCTTCTCAAAAAATAAACTAGTCACACTGGCGAGTTTGTCTGCCTGGAGCATTTGCGTTGATGTTCATTGATGTTTGTAATGCAAGTAAATTGCCTGACAGAAAACCAGGGTAAAAGAGAATGTGTCCCTGTAAATTGGTAAGCATTTAACACTGCTTTTCTGGCTTCTTCACAAAGTAGATCCAACTTGCCATCACCTCCTAAAGGAGAAAAACATGACTTACAAAGCATATGCAAGTAAATTTATTCTTATTTTACATTTCTACTCCTTATCCTAGCACCTATATTCCTTTGCATTCTCTTTCACAGTACTTGGACCCAGCTTGGCTCTGCCCTGGTTAGCTGTATAATCTGAGATTGATTCCGCTTTGATCTGGAGTTGAAACAGAGCAAAAAGTAAACGCAACAGTGCAGGTGGATCAGCAGACAGTAGAATGGCTTATTAGACAGTACGTCACTGTGTAGGATTGGGATACGAAAGACGTATTTTGTCGGAAGAAATTTCCAACCGGAACCTCCTAGTTCCTGGCCTGTCTGCTTGCCTTGCAGGAAGGTGAAACCAGCCAAGCTGTGGTGCTGGAGATACCACTATCCTTGGCCAGTTTTCTGCTTTTGCTCCACAACTCCCCAGCCCTAGAGAGACTGTTGAATAGCAGGGAGGTGAGAAGCGGTGGCTTTCAGCCTTTCTCTGGAAGCCACTGGCACAAGACATGAGAAATCTTGAGCCCTGAACTCCTTGTCTCACCTGCAGCAAAAATCATTAAAAAAAATTACTCTGAGGCACTGAAATGGGTACTATCTTTTTTTTTGCTGGGGGGAGGTGGGTAATCCAAAAAACCCCCGAAGAAACTAAGGCCCAAGCAAAGAAAAATATTTGCTATTTTGAAAGCAAAAGGATAATTTTTTATTATATCTCTATGGATGAGACCTAGCAGGTTTTCTTGTGATTGTGTGCTGGTGCGTGCAGGAAGGCCCTGACCAGTGCTCTGCCAAGCATGGCCTTAACTCCCAAACCAGCCTGTCTTCCTGACTGTGCCCTTCAAACTGCCTCAAATATAAAGAAGTGCAGAGCTTGAAAGTATTAATGTTGATGGAACCTGGACTGTTTATGCCCTAGGAGCCACTCATTTCAAAATGTAAGTGTTTTCAATGAGAGACTGCAATGAATAAAACTTCGTACTTAGCAATATCCAGGTCATTGATGTTGTAGTGAAATACAGTCTCCCCACTGACCACCAGCTCTACAGCGTTCCACATACATATGGTATCTCTTCCAGAATAAGCTGATGTCCATCTGCCTGCAGGACAGCTGGAAAAGGGCAAAGCAGCAGTGACCAGTACTGTATTTGTTTGGTTCCCTGTGAACTCTGAGTATATCTAGGTCTTGGTGTTTGTGAGGGTGAGGAGCAAGTAATGGTGTTAATGTAGTTAAGTGCTGTAAAAAACTCCCCACAAATCCTATTGGCTTTAATCTCTGGCTTCACTATTATTACATTAATGGATCTCCTTTGAATGAAGCCTCCACCCTCTGTCACTTCTAGCAGTAAAAGGCAAGAAATTCATTACGTACTTGTATTTGCTATTAACTGGCACAGCAGCTGTAAGAAATGCAATGTATTTATTTGTAAGTACCACCAAATAAGACTAATTCAAAAGGAGTCTCCAATAAACATTAAGATGGTGCTATAGAACAGCTGGAACATTAAGTGAACAATCCTGATAACCCAATTGTTCATTGACGCATAATTCATTTCACTTCTGCTGAAAGAGTAATTCCTCAGGACGTTAAAGACTTGAGATTTTGTGAAGCTAAGAATCAAAACAGAAGGGACAAAATCCTCTCTCGACCTGCATCTTGTTTAGATGAATTAGGTGCTTTTTGGGTTTATTATGGTACATTGTATAGTGTTGCTGTAAATTAACAAGAACTGGGGAAATAAGAGGACTGGCTGATAATGCAATTACAGCCATGCAGAAATGCCACGTGATTCTGCCTGGGCTGCCATAGTTTAATTTTTTTTAATTCATCTTACTCCATTGACTTGTTTTATGAGGCGAAAGCAGATTTGTGTATAGTCAAACAAAAACCCTTTTCAGGTTTTAACAGGTTGTCAAGGCTGAGACGGCATACTGACCAGTATACATCAGATATTTCGGTCTATCTTTTAAAGGTAAAGGCAGGTAGAAGTACCAGTTCTGCTGTAGCTGTATGACTTCAAAGGGTTGGCATTTCCTCACCGAAACAGGCATGGCTCAAACATTTAACCCAGCCGTGTCCACCAGCAGCTGCTTGCAGCATTTTAATTTAACTTATTGAAAAACTACTGGTTCATAAAGTGGCAGGCTTTCTGCTTCTGCTGTTGTTTTGTCATCCTCATCAGACAGCTCTCCTTGCTTTCTAGGAAATTCTAATGGCAATCTATTCTCAGTTACAAAATGGATGAAAGAGATGAAATCTCTGCACTTCTAGCTTTAAATTCATCCTAAAGAGGAACAGCTAGCCATGACATGCACTAGTTTCCCTAGGTTGAGGCCTGGTCTCTCCTGGTCCATGTTGGGTACATTGCAATGATCTAACAACCCCAGTGACAGAATTCGCATGAGTTGCCAGTAGCCTATATATTGTATTGACTCATGCTCTTTGTAAGCTTCCAGTGTCAACCAAATACTGATTTGGCTGCGACTGAGTTAATCTTTCCTTTTTATTGCACCCATGTAATCTCAAGCCTTTATAATCACTAAATTTGACTTGTATGTCTATGATCTAATGTATTCGATTTGATTTATCTTGCAACTTTAGATGGACTTTGCTAGGCAGAAATTTTTATTATGTACCCTCTTATAGACGGAAGGCATTAGAATGGAGGAAAACTTAAGACATTGCAAGGCTCAAGACATTTCACAGAATCATTAAGGTTGGAAAAGACCTTTAAGATCATCATTCCAACCATCAACCCAACACCACCATGCCCACTAAACCATGTCCCGAAGTGCCACATCTACAGGTTTTTTGAATTCTTCCAGTGATGGTGACTCTGCTCAGTCCCTAATAAGCAGAAAGTAGACTATAGCAATCCTTCATTTATGACAAATCTGAACAAAATAACTACGCTGCTTTAAACGTTTCTGTTTTCTGAATGTCATTGCACCTTTGGGTATGCGTGGTTAACTTCTCCAGTGGTAGGTAAGTCTGTAATGCCCTGAAGCACTGCTGCACTGGTGGATCTGCTGGGAGGCCATTTTAAGGCCTGCAGCATCACTCCCGGCAGTGCAGCCCAGTCAGTTCAGAACTGGGGCTGCCAGGCAGCTCGCGCAGCACCGCTCGCACTCTGGGGGTACCTGCCACCTGTGTTATCTTAATTGCTGGGAATTACAGGTGAGCTGTAAGCAACAGAAGTTACTTTGTGTGCCAGGTACTTGGCTTTATAGCTAAATTCGAGCATAAACTCGTAAATCAAAGCTGAAAATTTATTTCAGACTGTGTTTTTAATGAGGTTTGTGTAATTGGAAAAGGAACACACACACGCAGCGTAACGGAAGCTGCTTTTAGCGAACACAAAAGATGGAGGTGTTTGCGCTTTCTGAGCCGTAGTTACGGACCAGGTCTTTCCTTGGCCGCGCACGTAACGCAGGTGCTGGAACCTCCCCTTGCCGTCCGCCAGCTGTGCGACACCCAGACCCTTCAGTACAGGGCGACTGGACAGAAGCCACGGC